GTTCAAAGTTTGTCACGTCGAAAAGTGACGTTGATCATGTGATAGATGTTGAACTCCGACAAGTAAATATGCAGTTATAAGCAAGTAAGGATCTTTCAGATCTATTTACAATATTATATGCATTGAAATCAGCTGTTTATGACATTGTAAAATCATATAAACAAAACGGGTTTAAATCTTTACTTAACTCCAAGGAAACTCATCAAGATAAGTGTATGAGGTAGAAAATGCGGACATTGAAAAACAATGACGTTATGAAACTAAATGGCGACAGCGCCGGGTGATCATGTAATGCCTTTTTTATTTTATGATAATTTGGTAAATGTCCAAGGTAACAAGCTAAAATTTTCAACATTTCTTTAACATTTGTTGTTTTATGTTCATTAAAAATTTTGTAAGCATAGACTACATAGTATTAATTTTATCGCATCAGTCCACGAACTTTTCGAACAACCCTCGTAGTTAACAAAATTTGATGTGTGTTATCTTAATTGTGTAAAATGTTTTAATTCCTTTGGTTTCTATTTATAGTCCATTGACATCACGTAAATATCTCGGTGTAAAATTAGCTTTCTAACCGCATTCATTTCGATGGAGGTCAACAAAACATAGCATGAAATATGTAACTCATATTGTGATATATGTAACAACTATACACTTTCATGTTTCAAATGATATAAATATGTTAGTTTCAATTCACATTTTTTTTTACTTTTCCACAGGCCGATTTGGCACTGTAAATTGAAAATGCGTGATAAATGTTGTAAATGAGGAACTCCAGCATCCTTTTAATATCAACTTCAGAGTACTTGTGTGTAGAATCAGCGTGATTTAAAACGAAGTATCTCTGTTGATGAAAAATCACAGATTTCCCAGTTCCGCTTTTATTTAAGAAGGGGTTGGCTATGGTATCAAAAAGCCTAGTTTTAATTTATCGAGAGAAATGGTTGTATAAAGTGTAGAAAAGTTGGACGTTTTGATGTTGTAGGCTTTTGAAAAAAAATATGATTTTGAATTTTCTAAAATTTCCTTGGGGTTTTTGAGGATCCACATCCGATTTACACCACCTCTGGAATGTGCTGTAGCACAGTCATCTGAAGTTTTCTTTAACAGCATTTAATATCTTGATAAGGAGTAAATGTAGGGGCCTTTTAGATCATTTCCTGGACCCGGCAATATATCTTTGTTTGCAAGGATTTTTATGAAGTTTATGAATCCAGTATAGGTAGGGTAGATCGAACTCACCTTAGTTGACTGGAATGTAAAAGAATTAAACACTGAAATGTGATTTTGAAGAATTTCATCCTTGAAAAGTGAACTGCGAGTATATGTAGGATTTCCAGACATAGAATTAACACCAAGTTCTTCCAAAATACAGTTATAATAATGAGCCTTACAAATAAAAACGATATTGTTACCAGCGTTATCTGTTGGAACCATAGCATATTGAGGGTTTGCTTATAATTGAAAAGTTTGTAAGCAATCGTTTGGGAATATCTGTAGAAAATGCAGGGAGTAGAGTTCAACTTGAAATATAGTGGAATGCATGACTGAACTTTTTTATGTTTAAGAATGGTACTTGTGTTCACAGCATCTATTCCTTTGTTGGCAAATTTAAGTTTAAGAAACCGACGGATAGAGTCAGAATTATCTTCCGACACACGTGCTGGCTTAAAGAGCCTTTGCTGGGCAAATCCTTAATCACAAACACTAGTTTGTATTCTGCAGTTGAAAAAGTATGGACTTGCTTTAGCTTCTTCAAATAGTCCTTTCAATAATTTCAAGGAAACCGAATACTGTTTAGTGCGGATGTGATGAAGACCTAATTGTTTATTGACGTAAGGTAAAAGTGAATCAAAAGAGACATCCTGTATAATTGGTTTATTGTATGATCGATCTCTATGACTACGCTTATTTCTAGGTGTATTGTTAAAAAGTCCCATCACATTTACGTTGGCACACTGTGGTCTTAAAAGATTCCATACATTTTTTTATTTGGTCGTTGCAACCATACGGAAAGGCCGTGCCCAGTTTTCCGATCCTGTATTCTTCTTGTTGTCTACGGAACGGAGTACTCAAAGTGGAACTATTAGATGGATAATATATTTTTTTTCTCCAAAATTCTAATCCTAAATGAAAGATGTTCTATAAAGCCTCTTTCTTTACTCCTCACTAAAATATTAACAGCAGTGAAGGAGAAACTTCAGGAAAACTATGCAATAATATATTCGAGAAGTGGTGTAAATCAGATATAGATACTTAAAATTTCCGAGAAACTTTTGGAAAATTTGAAATCACAAAATTTTACCAAAACCAATAACATAAAAACCTACGACTTTTCCACTGTGTATACAACCATTCCCCACGATTACTTGAAGTCCAGGCTTTTTGACATCATTGACAGCTGCGTCTTCAATAAAAAATGGAACTCGTAAATTAACTTACCTTGTCATTGGTAATTTCCAAAATTGTTTTGTTAAAAAACATTCTGATTGTATACACTCTGGAGCTGATATTAAAAAGATGCTTGAATTTCTGATTGACAATTTCTGTGTGGTTTTGGAGACCAGGTCTTCCAACAATCTAATGGAATTACCATGGGTACCAATTTCGCCTCGTTGTTAGCAGACCTATTTTTGTATTCGTATGAAGCAGAATCTATTCAAAATCTTATACATGAGCAAAGGAAATCTCTTGCTATGGCCTTCAACTCGACATTTAGGTATATCGATGACGTATTATCAATTAAAAATAGTTATTTCCATTCATATGTCGATACGATATATCCCAGTGAGCTTGAAATGAAAGATACCACAGAGTCTGACACATCTGTTTCATTTTTAGATATTTTACTAGAAAAAGACGTTCATGGTAACCTAACAACAAAGCTTTATGATAAACTGATGACTAAACTACCTTACAATCGTCAACTTCCCTTACTTATGCAGCAACATACCTTTATCATCTGCATATGGGGTGTATCTCTCGCAGTTGATTCGATACGCAAGAGCATGCTCTACGTATGAACATTTTTTTAAACAAGGTAAGTTATTGACAAACAAGTTGATGAAACAAGAATTTCAACATTCTCGTCTAAAGTCATCATTTCGTAAGTTCTATGGTCGATACAATGAATACAACCTTTCATCGAGTCCTATGCTGATTGACGTTAACATACTATTTGTTAAGCCATTATTTACACACAATTGTTGACGGATTTACAGATCATGACCGGATGTGACCGGTCGGCAGGGAATGCCTACTCCACCAAGGCACCTGATCCCACCTCTGATGTTTTTGGAGGTCTGTGTTTGCTCTGCTCCCGATTTTTATTGTTTTAATGGACTTTGAGCTTGAATACTGTTCGTTATCTCCATATTTCATATGATAGTAGAAACCAGACTTGACAACCCATTACCTATCGGGGGCTAAAAACTTGTTCTGAAAAAAAATCTTCTCTCTAAGGACAACTTTGACACAGACAGTTATAATAGTCCAGTTACGGGCCACAGCTACAGCATATTAAGGAATCTGGGGTCTGTTTTACAAAAGAACTTGCGACTAAGACCAAAATTTTATTCTGCTCATAACTTTCTATTTCACATTGATTTGAAAATTGTTTTAATCTTTTTAAAAATAAATTAACAAGATATCTTATGCTAGCAATTTCAAACAGCATCATTAATTTTACAAAATTTCATAATGGTAATTCAAATTCATTTTGGTTGTTGGGAATATTAAAAATATTCAAAACTGACATATGATTTTGAAGAATTTCCTCCTTAGAAAGGGAGCTATGGGTGTAAATTGGATTGCCACTTATTTTAAGGAGCAATAAGCAAGCAATATTTTGAAAATAAATATTTATGGAATTGAATGAAGGGCTGAGGGGGTGGGATGGTAGAATCAATGGTGTTTGAATATTTATATCATACGTTAATTATTATACAATACTGTAATGATTCTAGGTGACATATTGATTTTAGTATTTGTCTATTCATTTTTATTAGGTTTCATTTATTCAGTAATATTTTATTATTGTCACCAGGACTTGGTGATTTACAGCTGTTAAATCAGTTTGAAATAACGTCAAACTTGCATTAGCAACATTAATACTAAATCTATCAAGAACAAAGGGATAGTGTTAAAAAGTTAAAAACATAGAACTGTGTATCGATGTTTAAATACCAAGACAACCCAAAACACTGACAAAGACGACTAGCGAAAAGGTTCAAATATTTTTTTTTTAAATATTATATAATCTGAGAACTGAAGACAGCAAAGGTCTTAAAGTCAAATACTGTATAGATATTTTGATTTTCTGGTTTTTCAAGCATGACACAACAATTTGTTATCATCATAGTCTGTTCAACGACTCAAACAAATTATTTCTGAACTTCGATATTGACATTTACCGTTTTAATTTCATAGACGAATTTGTTGATCGAGCATTAAGTTTTTCCACTAGTTTCGGTCACATGCATTCCCAGATCATTGTCTAAATTTATTTGGGTGATAAATGGTATACAATCCTATCAAATAGATATCAATCTCAATTTGACAAACTTTTACTTACTAATGATATATTTCAAATGCATCTATGAAAACTTTTTTGAAGGAGAGATGCAGGACACGAAGTTTGGAAGACAGAAATTTAATTGTGCATTTTGTACAGGTATATGTATTTATTTTCTCAGTAACAAAATTCTTTCATTTAAACACGCCAAACAAAAAGTGTACTCTTGTAATGGAACCACTGTGTCAATCTTCAGTTACATTACCGAAGTTTTTTCTTATTCCAATTGAGATCTTTATGCGTAACACAAAGGTTGTTCTACCAAGGATCAATTGATGTAATATGGAGATAACGAACATTGAATGCTCTTGAAAAATTCGAGGGCAAATAAAAGAAAACTTCAATAAAAATAATTAAACAAAACAGATTAATACAAAGAATTCCAATTCAAGTGCTGTGAATTCTTTTATTTGTAATCAGCATGTTAATATTTACATTTATCGAACAGAAAAGATGCTTTGTGAAGTTCAGACTTCGAAATGTGTTGGCTACCTGTAATTGGTTTTCTCAGAATTAAAATACTGTACACTTAACAAAACTTCTAAGTGTTCACTCTAATAGATGTATTTATTTAAAAACTACATGATAGAATGGTATGATATTTTCAAATTATTATAATCAATGACTCTCCTTAACAATTGTCAAAAGAAAATCAATTATCACCAATGAAAACCAATGTCCCGTGACGAAGCTTAAAAACAATAAATCTGTACTTTGCGGCACGTGCTTTGTGTAATCAGTTTCTTTTTGTGACCATTATCGATTCTTAACAACTGGTTTAACTAAAAAACACAAAACATGGGCAAAATGGCCATTGAGGAAGGAGGGAGAGTGGTTGGAATGCTGACATCTGGATCATCCTTACGACACGTTTTACTCACTTTTATTTAAGTGTTTATTTGTCCTTAATATTGCTTTTAAAAATCAACAACCAGTATTAAAATCCATTAAAAGACATTTTGCTATAGGTTGTGTGTCATTTTCATTGCCATCTTATCACAATTTGAAAGCTTTGGACAAAATTTAACAAAACCGGAAGTGATCTGGATATTCGTCTGAGGCCAAGGTTTCGCGTCACAACCAGGTTAAAAGATTGTGACATGGTCCAGAACCACTTTTGATTTATTTAAATTAGCAACTTCAATGGTAAGAAAATAGTAACAAATTGGTGCCCATGGCTGTCTAATATCATCTCAAACAGTCTGAATCATCCTTAAAGAGGTACACTTATGTGCGAGACGCCCAAGGGGGTCTAGGTGTTGACCAAAAGGCATCTATGTAATGCCCAGGCCTGCCAAATCCCCCAATCTGAATCCAATTAAACACATTTTGGACTTTTAAAAGGAATATCAAAGCTCTCCCCATCCACACAATTTCAGCGGTTTAGAAAGATCCATGCAGTAGGTGTGGCAGCAGATAATTCAGGGGTACAATGTATCCATGGGAAAAAGGGTGTCTTGCAAAAATTAGAGCGAGTGGTGGTCTTACTCCATAGAGATTATATTTTGTGAATTTTCATTTTGAGGGTACATCATTTCCTTGACACTTTGCTTTAAAGTCTGACGAGATACTGACATGAAATTTACGCAACATCGAACTGAAATATGTTTCAAAGAAGTTACTTATTGTGTGCATTTGTTCTTTATAACTTAAAAAATGTTAGGTGAATACTTCGAAGTTTGGTTCAGTGTAGAGACGCCACCATATACCAGTGAAGGGCTTCAAATTTAGACCTTTACTCGGCATTAAGGGCCGTTGAACAGCTAGGGATCTTTATCGTGCCAATGCCTACTGTGACACAGGTCTCGGTTTTAAGGTCTTACCCGAAGACCCGCAATTTTCACTTCAAAATGCCGAGTCCTTGGCGAAGGAACAGTTGCTACCTTATTACTATTTTTTTACAGTCTTAGGTCTGATGCGGCCGCGGCTTGAACCCTCGATTTTTCGATCGAAAGGTCTTGTTATAAATGTTTTTCAGAATTTCAAATTGTAAATGGCAATATTTTAAAAGCAAAATGTTTTATGTAAGAGAGTAATTACTTTCAAAATTGCATAAACTGCTTGATTCAGTATTTTAATGAGGCACAACTTTCCTGAGTGTTATTCTCTTCATATAAAGGACTCTATGTCAATTAAGATGAAAGCAACTTTATTTTTATTCTAATATAAAGCACCAAAAACTTTTGAATCCCAACCAGTATCAAAACAAACAAGATGTATTTACGCAATCATATTTGGGACATGAAGAACGAGGACGCATTTGATTTGGATTCGGAAGGAATCCGTCCGTATCCCGTTACGTTGTTACTTAAATTCACTGTTTCTCTGTCTTTCCGTCTATTCGTCCGTCAGACTTCGCGTTCACTTAGTTTCAAATAAAAACAGTTTTAACAAAATTCACACAAAAAATTCATATGTGTAAGAGCAATGTCACTTTGTAGTAAAAATCAGACTTTTACCATCCCTTTGACCTTCATTTTAGTCCTCATTTTTAGTTTTCTGTAATTTCAATGAAACTGTTCGATTTGTTTTCATCAAAGAACTAAAAAGGAACGGTAAAAGCAATGAAAGCCAAATTTTGAAAATCTCTAGAGTTCACGGCGGGTGTGATCTGTCGACAAGGGATGCTAACTCCTCCATTGCACCTAATCATGTTTGTTTTGCTAATAATTGTGTTGTTTAATTTGAATATGAGCATGATGACTGTTCGTTATCTTAGCATATCATTTTAGGATCTCGTGATCACTCTAACGTGAATGAAGAAAACAAAAACTAACAGAGTCAGGACCTGTTATTAAGGTCTTCCGTATTCAGCGGAAGACCTTACTGTTATTCTTAGGTTTCTTTTCCACTATTTTATTGTTTTTTCCCTACCGATTTTGTGCACGCGAGTTCTCGGAAACGGCTTGTTTGATTTTCATGAAACTTTCAGGTCTGGTAGAACATCAAAAAATCTAGATATGTATTTTATTTTGATAACATCACTTTCGGTCCGGAGATTTCTGCGATTAAGTGATTTTTAGAGGGTCACTTTGTCCGCTCGTTTTCTAAAAAAAAAAAAAAACAAAAAAAAAACCCCCACTTATAATAGGAACTTGACATTTTCAGCGATGATAGAGCAATGTTCATAGATGTGTACTAAGTAGTTCATTTTTCTCAGAAGTGCCGCACGTTGACGCGCGGTATGCTCCGAAAATAGTCATATGGAGAATATCAAAATTTTTAGGATTTTTTTTAGATTATCTCTTTACTTGTAAATTTTTTTGTAAAGTTTTGTTAAAACATATAGAACAAAAGTTTTGCAGAATGACAAGGTCTTTCATTTGATATCAAGAAATAGTGGCTGGCCCCTAAAATAAGGGATCTACAGGGGCTGAAAGTTTTTTCTCAATATCTCAAAAACTATTGAGAATTTGTGATACATCAAAGAAGCAAAATTGTTCAAAATGACAAGTAGAAGCGAGTAAGATTGTCGAACGTCGTCAAATGACGTCACTTCCATCCAAAACGCATATTTTGCCGTTTTTGACATGTTATTGGTAAATTTATGTAACCAGAAGAGTCCAACCAAATTTTTCATCAGTCGACATCACTTCCGGTCAAACCGGAAGTAGCCAGAAATAGCTTATTTTGCAGATTTTGAAGCAAAATTGAAATTCTAAAGTCACTGGAGACGTCTTAACTTATTCCTTTCTTTTGTTGACCACTTCGGTCAAAACAGGACGGAAGACCTACTCGTTGCTTTGCAACGAGCTTTGCTCTAGTTATTATTATTATTTGACATGTTCACACCCTGGGAGACCGACGTTTGGACATTCGAACCTCTTATTTGCAACAAGTGAATAAAAATAGTTAAGTGAAGATAAAATTATTAATTATATATAATTTTTATCTTTATTCAAGGATGAATGTTTCGTAAATACTGCATGTAGTTGAGGATATTTATTATATTATACTGAATGTTTTATACAAACATACAAATAACGATGAACAGTGCACGCATACATTCCGCGCAGTCAACATTTTTTTGGAATATCACCCGTCGTAATGTTCACTGTTGCTATGTTCTGTCTTGCATGAGGGAGTGTTTTCATCATTCGGAGGTTAAAAAAAATCAAAAATCAAAATCAACTTTTTACATGAAAGTATAACATTAAGAAATGACAATGATAAGTACCACATTTTGTAGGCATGCCTCCATATAGCCAAGACATAAGTTTTGTAAGAAATGTACCTGGTACTCTAGAAATAATTTATATAGCAGTGTTGCTTTTCTCTACATCAAATATTTTCTACTTTCATATACATAATAGAATACTTATCATATTGCTGCTTTTATAATCTGCAAGCTTATAAAATAATTAGCCCCGATAATAATGATGAAACCAGTTTTAGTGCATATTCTTATTTGCTTTATACAGTTTCTAAAAATATCACCGCATTGTTTTCAAATTCGGTCTAACATGAAGGTTTTCATTCATACAATAGTAAAATGTATTCTTTTTCTTTCTTAGCACTTTCCTAAGGATACTCATGAGATCAAGCACACTGCAGATTTTTTAACGATTATTGCTAGCAATGAATAGTCGTTGAGTTAAGTAAATAAATGTCTATATATTGGATTTTTTTGGTACAATATTACCTCTGACAGAAAGACAATCAAGATTTTTCTTAAATTTATTACGAATGATATTTTCCATCCAGAAAAAGTTATATATTTCTTATTGCTCTTGCTAACACGTACGAAAAATTTGAATAGCAATATTCTTGGTTCATAATGTCAAGCTATTTCATTTGGAAGGAATTTAAGATTTCAGGATCCTGATCTTATAAAATTTGTGCATATGCTCTAACACCCCCCCCCCCCCCAAAAAAAAAGATAAAAAACAAATTGATGCGATCATTATTATTTTTTTATTACATATAATAAAATCAAGTTTCTCCTCTGACATGAATGCTCATCTAATGAATTTGTTAACACTTTTCGAACACCAGTGGTGCTTTGCGAAGTTCCCCCTCTGAAACTATTTTATCACCTGAAATAAAGTAATACAGTTTTAAGAAAAAAGAAATTAACTCTTCCTCCCCTTTTTCAGCATTACTGCTAAAAAGGATGTTTCTGAAGAATAGGGAAATTTTTAAATCATTAAAAATGCATAACTTCTTATAATTTCTTATTTAAAAAATGTGCTGAAAGAGAGAGAGAGAGAATCAAGAAGATAATCAAAGAATCATAAACATGTTACATGTAATTATCGAAGAAAAAAAAAGACCTCACCATTCGTGTCAGTAAGATTGAATGCTTTTCGGAGATCTTCATTTTTGGTGCTTGCTTTGGATGTGATTGCAAATTCTTTTAGGTCGATTTTCCCGTCTTCATTGGAATCCCAATCAGAAAACGTGCAAGGCACGGGTCTCATGTCTACCTGCTGATACCTGCTGATATGAAAAATACACAAATTACTTACATTTAATTTTTGTTAATGTAATTTATCGTATTATGTCTGATAGCAAATAGAATTCAAAGTCTGCTTACCCAAATCGCATCTCGTTTCTTTCCGCAAAATTTACCACATCCGTATCCACATACTGGTGCACAGGCAGGGCAACCAGTCACTGCTACACATTTGAAACTACACACTGAACGACAAATAATCCGGGTCCATCGTCGCAAACGCCACGGAGCGGCTTTTTCCACTAGACATAGCTCAGTTACAGTCAACAGTACCAAGAAGAGATGAAACTAAACCAACATAACACATTTTGTACAGTTAATTTTGTGGAGATTCAAATTCTTTGTTTTATAAACTAAATTAAAATATTAGTAAAATAAAATACAATACCTTATTCATTGTTCTGCAATAGTCAAAGTTCTTTGGGTTTTTTTTTTCAGGAACAGCTTTACTTATATATAGGCCTAAAAGGTAAGACAGACCCACTAAAATATTGACATCTCGCATCCAATTTCTCAACAGATTTACAAATGCCTAGATTTGATACTCTGTACACGTGGAATTATAATCTTTATTTTTTTAAATTTGTGATTTGTAACAAACAGAAATTATAAATATATTTATTACATACGTTGTCATTAATACACCTTTTTTTGCATGTGTGATATGCATGACGTCACCGTAGCCATATGAGCTTTCACGGCTGCTACGGACTTTGCAGGGTTGATAATGAATAGCAGGGCAGATATATATATATATATATATATATATAGTGTTGTTAATGAGTACCCGGCCAACCGCCGAACAATGCGATGTCGATAGAACTGCTGCTCGGCTACTCGGATATTTAGACTTAAGTAGAAAATAAATGATTTTTTGTTCAATTAATCCTAAAACAAGTCATCATTTTTTACCGTTAGTCTCGATTTAATGTTTTACAAATACGTTTGTTTTGATAAGTTTTCACAGTTTATCTAATTGATGTCTTTGATTGCGCGTTTTGAAGGCATGAGTTCCTAATTACCTTATTAATTACATGATTAATATGCCACACTCGACATCATGAGCATTCAGAAATAGAAAATTAGCCGCTTTTAAATCCTTAAATGCGTAAAATTTACATAAATTTCAAGCATGTAAAATGGAATAAAATTAACAATCACGCTATAAAATGGTATTTTCTTTTCTTTTTGAAAAAAAAAGAAAAGAAACAGTTTTAGGGTAAATGAGCATGGTGTGTACAAATAAATGTAGATTTGTGCGTGCGCATGCGATGATTAAAATGACTGATATAATTGAAATAGCTTAAGAGGTGATATTTTTTTTTTTATGAAATGCTTTGAAACTGCGTATATATATAGGACCTCCCATGATTTGTAGTTGGATATGATTTTTATCCAACGAGTTGTTTGTTCTTTTTATCCCCGAGCCTTGGTGAGGGGATAAAAACACACAACGAGTTGAATAAAAGTCATATCCAACTACAAATCATGGGAGATTCTTTTTATCCCATGTTTAATACTTCACAACCAATGTTTTACACTGTTTTATACAGGACTCAACTTTATTTTACTTCATCACTCTAAAGCAAAAACAATTGTGACGTCACAACTACACTTAACTGTGGAATTTGAAAAAAATTATCCTATGAGTCATATCCACGGGATAAAGGGGAAAACATGGGATAAAAATAAATATTTGTAGTCAAGAGAATTTATTTTTATGCATGCTTGTGCTTCGCTCTGATTGGTTGTGACAAGAATCTAGAGAACTTCATTGTTATTAGACAACATGCTTTGAAATTCCAAATATAAGTATATATTATTAGGTTGTACAAGATATGATTCTTGAATCACGCACATGATACATGTTCTCCAATTTAATTGGCTGAAACTTTAAAAATTCATAACTTCCTTATTTTCAAACAAAATAGGACGGATTTAAAATACTGTAGATTCCTTATTTTTGGCGATTTTCTTATTATCGCGCACCATAAAAATAAAAGCGAGTAATGTTATTGCTCGAGTGGTGCTTAGTTCCTCGCATATATTTAGGAATCAATAGTACAGAGGGGTATGATAAGTTTTTACAGTACGGTATTATGAAATCTGAATACAAGAAAATGTATGCACACGAGCTGAAATCTGATTGGCTACTACTTTATTGGCTGTAACTCTCTTACTATTCGATAAAATACTCTGAAAATTTACGACAGGTATGTATTTCGAGACACTATAAAATTTGTAAGTGAGTACTCTTAAACATTTATGCAAGTGCACGTGTTCTGAATTCAGGTAAGCTAAGATTGGAAGTGGTTATATTTTTCAACAAGACATGACAATATCAGGAGTTTATGTAAATACATGTATAATGAATCTCTACATCATAATAATATAACAAATTTAATACATAAAAGCTAGTGGAATATTCTGATCGATGTAACTTCACAAATTTTCAGTGAAAGTGTTTGAAATCTGATATGTAGCTCTCTATTATGAGATATAAAGAAATGATGCAGGTGGCAATTTAAGAAAACACGCACATTCACGTGCACCGAAATCTAATTGGCATTTGCTATTACTGAATTTGCCTTGTATACATTGTTATCCCTGCAAAATTCTTTGAAAGTCTATAATACAATGATGTGTCTAATTAAATGGCAAAAAAGTTTCATTGATAACGATTTTCAATAAATAGGTCAAAGACCTACATTTTAAACGGTATAGATATTGTCATGAGGAACTACAGAATCATTTCAATATCAACTTCAGAGTACTTGTATGTTAAAACATATCGATTATTAACAAGGAATTTTGTAGATGACAAATCACAAGATATAACATTTTACAAGTTCCATTTTTATTGAAGGAGCGCTTCTCTATATATGCATTCTTTAATTAATCGCGAAGAATGGTTGTATAGAGCGTAGAAAGTTATATGTACAAAACTACAGGAGATGCATTTAGAATTTAAAATAAAAAGAAACCTAATAATTTTAAAGATTTCTCTATACATGTACATGCATTTCGTTTAACAGCAATGCACCTTATTGAAAATAAAACATATCTGAAAAAAATTATTCATAGAGGAAAATTACTAAGCTTGAAATTTTAGGACATATTTGTAACATATATTGATAAATAAATAACACAGTTATTTTCCTCTTCCTAGTATTGATCGCGTTATAATATACAAATTAAACCAGCACCTGTTTCAGGAATGAATATAAATTTACACAATAACAAACATTGAAGATGTCAAAAGTATAGAGATTACCAGAAAAACAAATGAATAATGATATCAAATGCAATCTGATCTATCCATTGAGAAATAAGGTGCTGCTGTTGACAGATTATAACTCAAAGCATGTAATGAACCTAATTCGGTTATGAATTGTCCGCCTCCTTTATAATATCATATCCTTTATAATAAACAACTATGTTTTTATGTACTTTTTTTGCACGAATGGGTCACAAATGTGTATTTTCACACTATCTGTTCAATAAAAAAAAACTCTTTACAGTAAATCTTACATTATTTACTTATTATTTCCAACTAGAAATATATTCACAAGACACGAATGTCCCGCTCTTTGGAACACATAGAAAGAAATTGACCTTATTTTTCTGTCAGAGCTACCAGAAATAAAATAAGATGATAGAAGGAATATTTTTCGTACTTTTAAATAAAACTGATAGTTCTGATAGTTGAAGTCTTTTGTAGCATGGTATATTGACTCATACTATCTATCAGCAAAATGGAGTGTCATTGTTTTAAATTTATTCTTTCTATATTAGCAGATTTACATTTTGTATGCTAGAAATGCTCTCAAGGAAATTTTCTGAGTATAATGGTATACCTATGAAATATTCCTTTATAGAATTCATTAAGATTAACTAAGAGCAAATCTTAAAAAAGGCAAAGCTCTAGTCATAGAGAATGTCAAATCAGAAAATAATGACGCGGTTGAATTACTCTCAAAAGTTTGTATCACTATATTAAGTTTGATAAAATTACTTGACAAGTAAGGTTCAAAGTCATACGGAAGATAGAGGTGAAAAGAATCACACAACTAGATTGTATTAACCAATATAGGTCATTATATGATAAAACTATTCTAAACAGTTTCTTTGAAACTGGGCTAAACATGAGGTATGACTGACGGATATGCGGAAAGACAGAGGAACGGAGGAATGGAGTAATCGAGACAAGGAGAAAAGGAGACTTTATAACAAAATCTATAGGTCCCTCCTATGGCGGGGCATAAAAAATAAAAACCTTTTAGAAAAAATGATGGCTTGAAGAATTTTAATTGCGATTGATTATACATTCTGACATTTGAACCATGGCTGGGATGGGGTAGGGATGGTGTGGAGATGAGACAGGACTTTACAAGTGTAAAGCATGTCAGATCAAAGCTTGCGTTACTTTTTTATTTGCTCTTCGTCGTCTCTTATGTATTTCTTTCTCCCTCTCTCAATAATCTATTGATTACATTGATACATATATAGCTACGAACATACGTTAAAGAATTCCCCCCTTTTTTAAAATGAGTATATATTTTTTAATTCAACAATAAAGTTTAAACCATTTACTCAATGTGATGTGATTCCTTCATGTCAGAAGATACACTCTGTTCGTAATTAATAACTAGCTTTTATTGTTTGTTATGAATATTTTCGTGTTAATTCCCATTTCTTAATGATAACTTACAAAATATAAAATTCGAGGTTATGAAAATCAGAGCATATTTGATGATGGTAGTTGTAAGACTTACACTCAATTTACGTTTCCCCAAAGACAATTTATCTCTGAACAGTTGGTGTATGGCGTGTTTTCTTTTACATCATTATTACATGTTATGTTATTTTCATACAAATTGACATAAGCTTACATCCCATTGTAAAAAAAAAAATCAAGTGGCATTTGACCAAGTGATTCCAATATCTTCATCTGTATTTCTTTAACCTACTCCAAGTTGAAGTTGTATGAATTGATGCATGCAAAAATGCTCGAGTTTTACAATCGAATACGAAATAAAACGAAACAAAATAATAAAGTTTTGAAGTAAATGTTTATACAAAGGTCACAGTCGTCTTTCATTTGTTCATCGTCCTATAATATAATATAATCCTTTGGTCAACTGGTCTCTGTATATGACATACGCAAAATAGTTACATGTGTGCAATTCACGTTACCACTTCTACTTTGCTTTTGGAAACATGATATATGGTACATAATGTATTCAAATATTTATCACTGGTTATAGGCAGGTACTTGTGGACAGGAAATATTTTAAACAAGCACCAAAGAAAATCCTCATAGAACATCTTTTGTTTCTATACAAAGAATCCCTATGTTGAGGCTTACATGCACTCCTAGACTTGCTCAAGTCTCTA